AGGGTGTAAATCCCAGTGACAACTGGGGGCACTTTTACAATTTCCCTTGTTTTAAATAGTTTCATTGCGATCGCTCGCCCTTTGCTTCATCACCTTAATTTTGTGTTTTTTTGTCATCTGTATGATTGTTGTTTCAGTGATAGAGGCCAAATGTGTGCAATGAAGGAGGTTACCCTTTTCTCAGATGATCCCAAGTCAAAAGAAAGTGCAAAACAGTTGGGCCAGGTATGCCCATTTTTCCATGTTTACACTTAGTAGTCACAACCCAGATTTTTGATTGACATTTTTTTGTCTTATCTTTTTAAATGTTATTGGTTCAATCCTCAGGAAATATCACTTCTGAGCCGTCTGCAACATCCAAATATTGTACGATACTATGGATCTGAAACGGTATTACCTATTCCCAACAGTTGTTATTTACTGCTAATAGTATCAACAAAGCTCATATTCTTGTAATTGTTACTTGCACTTTTTTCTCATTACATCTGTAGCTGAACAGTTTATATTGTCGGAATCCTTTTCTAATTGTGGGAAAAAAATACAGAGACATGCATAATTTTCTAAACTTCACCTTTGTCTGCAGTTCTTCACCTCTGTGTGTTTTTCTAAACATGTCTTGTCATTATCCATGTATCCAAAATAGGTTGAAGATAAGCTTTATATATACCTGGAGTTTGTGTCCGGTGGATCCATCCACAAACTTCTCCAGGAGTATGGACAGTTTGGTGAACAAGCAATTCGGAATTATACTAAGCAAATACTTTTGGGCTTAGCTTTTTTGCACGCGACGAATACAGTTCACAGGTAGCATTCCATTTACTTTTGTTGATTACTTGTTTAGTCTAATTTAGGTATGCTGCTAAGTTGTAATTTACATTGAATTTTTGTGTTTATTTATGCTCTTCTAAAATTTCAGGGATATTAAAGGTGCAAACATATTAGTAGACCCTAAAGGCCGCGTAAAGCTTGCTGACTTCGGAATGGCGAAACACGTAAAGTTTCTGTTCATTTTTCATCTGTAAATACTAGCTCGAAATTTGAATGAGACTATTATTAGCTATAATGCCATAAACAATCTTCATAGAAGGAAATGGTGTACATTATCTTATCGTTATCCTCGTGTGCTCCTCCACTCATGCCAACCACACTTGAGTTTGGTCAACCTCTTTGATAGAAACAACTACTTTAATTAGGTCCTTGCTATACCAACATATCTGCTGACTTACTTGAGGAAGGGTTTTCTCTCTCTCAAAATATGATTCTTTTTTTGTTTACTCACAAGTCATGAACATGTATAAGCTTGCTTTCTGTTTTTTTAGATCAATGGGCAGCAGTGTCCTTTCTCACTTAAGGGTAGCCCATACTGGATGGCTCCTGAGGTATTGCTCCAAATTTTGCTTTTTCCATCACTTCTTTAGCTATTTTTATACAATTTATATGTATCTTCCCTTCTTTTTCAAAATGCAACCTTTTTTCTCATTCTCTCACATCAAAGTATGTAACAAATATGCAGGTTATAAAGAATTCGAGCGGATGCAACCTTGCTGTTGACATATGGAGTTTAGGATGCACAGTTCTAGAGATGGCTACCTCAAAACCTCCATGGAGCGAATATGAAGGGGTTAGTACCAGATTTTGAAGCTACAATTTATATTTGTTCATGGAGTATTAATTTGTCTGGGAGAAGCTGCTATGTAACATGCATGATGCATATCTTTGTTGCTACTGCATTATAGTCAGCAGTTCAGCATGGCTAGTTATTTTACCTTAAGTACCTCAGTGCCCTTTTAAATTAGCATGTATAGTTGGATAACTATTATGGTGTGCCTTCACAAAAGGTATATCTCTTATGTTGCGTGTACTTGAATTTTGAACGTGTGTGACAAAGCATTCCCAATGTTTTAAATAGCTAGTTTTTTTTGAGAGAGAGAACGCAAAAGCTTTGCGTCTTGTTGTATTGAAAAGGCTGGAACAGAAGTTATTTACACGCCCAAGCGACGCAGGGTCGAAACAAGAAACAGAACAAGAAAAGCTAGCTATTGCTATGCTATAGCTTTTTTGTAGCCTAAAAAGTATGCCATGGCACCTAATGCCGCTATTCTAGCTTAGGCCGCCATCGAAATAAATAGCTGCGCTGTTTGCCTCAGAGCGGAAGTAGCTATAGCTGACGCCGTTCCTTTGTAAGTAAAAATGGGCCAAAACAGGAGGTTTTTTTTTGCGGGGTAAAAACAGGAGCTTGTTTTCAGTTTTAGTTATAAATAAACCCAGAATGAATATATATAGTTTAGACCTACCAGGATGGCATCCACAATCTTGCGTCGGTGCATGCTTTTTTGAGTTTTTATAATGCTACTTTGCCTGATTCAGTGGTACGTCTAAATTACTACTGTGACTTTTCTAATATTTTGATGATTTGTATACTTTAATAACAAAACACTATTGGAAATAGCTTTCGCAATACCTGTAGCTTAGACCTAGCCGTGAAGCCACGGAAAACACGATTTAAAACATTGAGCATTCCGAATTAATTCAAAGAGCAGCCAGGGGGCTAATTTCACTCTGAATCTCTTATCAGTTGAACAACATGCTTGAATTGTTGTTGTGGTATTCCTATATTTACCTAATCCTATCATGTTTGGTGTTATTTGCTGGTACTTTTGGATTTTATAAGATGTTACTTGGTTTTTCTCTATACGAGCAAACACTTCGTTGCTTTCTGTGTTTTTCGTTTCCTATATGCATGCCATAATTTTCCTTTTCTGCAGTAGTGGGTACGCAGAACACACCTTCTCCGATCTTTTATTTTTTTGGAAAAAGTTATATGGATCGGTAAACAGAATAAATTTTGAGAAATTTCCTTATATGCCACTGAAATTTGCTTCCTAATCTGCTGCTGAAAATGGTGACCCATTCTATGCTACTGAATTGAAATTTCAATCGTCATGTGCCACTGCCACAGCTCCGTTTGGCGCAGCTGCTTTTAACCCTTGAATAACTTGCCGGTTTCTTGTCAAATATCAATCATACATTCACAAAAACTTATAGTGCATGTCACCTGTTATGTGCCTCTATCTTCTTTCGTACACCCTCCAAAGATCTTGGAGCGCTGCCACCTTGTCCAGTGCAAGGCATACGAGCTTTGGGTCCGGTGAAGTCCGGTCAGACCGTCAGAGGAGGCCGGCCGATTGGGGTGGGCATTGTAGGTAGTACTCTACCAGCCAGGAAGAAGAGGAAGATGAAGGATTGAGAAATGGCAATTCCACCCTTTTGCGGCCCACTTGACAAGAGGCTAACAGAATAAATTTTGAGAAAATAACTGCATACTCTAAGCCACTTAGAAATGCTATGCTCGCGGCTCCTCCCTGCTCTGCCTATTCATGGTCGTCCGAGCTGGACTCCAACAAATCTTGGCTGTTGGATCAGGTTCATGAAGTGAAGTTACATTTGCTTTGACTGCCACAGGACCTACCAAATGCTGAGTCCGTGGCGCAGCGACCGAGCATGTGCGCCACACGGTAATAATAATAATAATACCGGGGATGGAAACGTAGCCTAGCCCCCATGCTCTTCCTTTCACAGTCTCATACCTTTGATCATGTAGCGCCTTGGACCGATGGTTGACACACGCCGTGCCGCCATGCAGCCACTCTGATATTGAACCTGAAGTTGTTGGTGGATTTTGTCTTTTTATTGGAGCCATGGATGAGTCCTTGGTTTCCTAGATTTACCGAAAAAGGCTTTCGCCCACCTTTATATATAAAGCAACGATCGTCATACAGGATGCAAACCACTCGACAACACACACACCCCCAAGGCAGATACAAGGGAGCTGACGAACAGCAACACTACTCCAAACGCCCCAAAGCAAACAAGTAGGCAGAAGAGCATAGCTAAAGATCTAAGGTCTCTCCACCGTGAACGAGTCACCGCGAGGAGACGAAGCCGCAACTCGACGAACCAGGGACTCCAAAGCGGTGCTTCCAGGAAAGAAACGACACTGAAGAGCTGCCATAGCCCGATCCAGTGAATCGAGGTTTTCACCCGAAGTAACACAAAGAACGCAGGACCACGGCGATGGAGCCTTCAAGAAGGGAGCAACGCATGGAGCATAGCTAAAGATCTAAGGGCTCTCCACCGTGAACGAGTCACTGCGAGGAGACGAAGCCGCAACTCG